TCAGGTCTCCTCCTCCATCCATCCGTCCGGGGTGCCCACCCAGTGGGGGGAGCTGGTGGACTCCTGGCCCTCACCCGGTGCCTGCACCCCGGGCCTTCCCAACCTTCCTCTTCCCTCCACGTGCCCTTGCCCTGCTGGCAACACCCTCACCCACCCGCAGCCCAGCAACCTCTTCCTCCTCTGTCGGGCCTTTCGTCCTTCGAGAAGCATCCCCATCCTGGCACCCACTGGCCTGCTACGTCACCTGGGTTCCCACAATGCCTCAGCCCACCCCACGCCTGCCCCCCGGGTTGCCCTGGTGTTCCATGGCCAGACCCTGGCTCGGGGATTCTTCATCTATAATTTTATCTTAATCCTTACCGCCCACTTTACAGATGGCAAAACTGAGGCTCAGAGGGGCCAAGTCAGTAGCTTGAGGTCACGCGGTGGCAAAAGACGGAGCTGGGAGGTGCCTTCTCCCCAGCCCGGCCCCTCCCCAGCCCTCCCCTCACTGCCCACCCCTGCCTGTTTGTAGTGGCCAGCTTTCTGCGGAAGGTGTGGTCTGCCCTTGCAGCCTGCGGGCACAGAACCTGGCACAGGGATGCTGGGGCCGCTCTGTCTACCCCAGAGAAGCCCCAGACTCAAACACAAGCTCCCTGCACCCTGGAAGAGAGAGAAGGGTCTGTGGTTCCCAACATGCCCACCCCTCCCCCCACCCCTGGTGGCCTGGGACCACCCCCTGCCCCTCCTCCAGTGCCTGCATCAGGCATGGGTCAGTTAGGAGACAGCATGGCCAGTCGTGACAGGTGGTGTCCAGGGCCTGTGGGTGCTGGAGCCACGAGCATGTGGTGAGGAGCATGGTGGACAGGATGAGGTCTCTTAGAGTCCCTGTGGCCTGTGGCCTTCCGTCGCTCTTCAGCCCTAACAATGGGGTGGCCCCTGGCCCCAGAGGGCTCCCTTTCTCTGGCTGTTACTCCTCCAACTTGATGTCTTACCTGAGAGAGTTAGACACTTGACCCACATACTCGGGAGGAGAGGCAGGGGCTCAGGGGTTCAAATCCCCACCCCACCTGGGCCCGGGGCAGGGGAGGAACAGGGCTTGGTCAGGGCAGAACAGGCCCTGGAGTGGGACTGGGGACAGGGAGCAGGGGTGGCAGGAGAGCTCTTGGTCACATTGCGGCATGGAGTGCTTCCTAGAAATCCAGCTGTTTGCAGAGCCGGCAAAACAGTGGTCCCTGGAGGAGGACCCTTGTCAGGGCCCTGCTCACCCTGAGGCTCAGCAGACCGGGCTGGTGTGGGGTGAAGGAGGGAGGGAGGGGTACGGAGGGAAGGGCAGTGTGTGTCAAAGGGTGGCCCCTGTGAGACCGCAAGGGCCTCCAGGGGCCCCTTGGGAGGGGAGAGCTGGTTGAGTTGGCATCTGAAGGTGGGAAGGGGCACACTGGGAGGTGTGAGTGTCCATGAGGGTGTCCACACTGGCTTATGCCAGGCAGGGTACCCTGGTGCCAGGAGGCAGGCCCATGCCCTGGGCCAGGAGGGGCTCCTGTGGTTTGAAGAAGTGCCAGCTGGGAACACGGCTGACCTAGAAGCTCTGTCTGTGCCACCACAGCAGGGCGCGAGTGCTGGTGGGTGAGGACTGACACCCACCAGGCCCATCAGTGAGGTGAGCGCAGCTCTGGGCCTCAGGAAAGCGTCAGGTCCTTGCCGGGGTGGGAGGGCAGGAAGTGCTGCCCGGCCTCTGGGCCTCTCGGACAGGCAGGAAGTGCGGGGAGGAGGAAGCCCGGCAGCCTGTGCCCCAGATGCCACAGGCGACTGTTAGCAGGAGGGAGCGGCCGCAGTCAGGGCATCGGCGGCCAGCACTGGACATGCCGACCACCACCTCTCCCTGTGTTCCCTGAGCTGCATGGCCTCCCTGGTCTCTAGGACACCTGACCCTGGCCTGTCCCCAGGCAGGAGGAGAGCGATGTGTTGGGTCAGCACCGTCAGGTCAGTGGGGAGGCCCTGGGGCAGGGGCCCGGGAGGTGGCAGTGTGAGAGCCAGGGCACTGATGAAGGGTCCATAGACTGGGGACCCTGGCCCACAAGAGAGAGCGGCCCATCTGGCATCCAGAGGCCACAATCCGAGCCTGCCGCAAGGACACCCCAGGCCTGTCCTGAGAGCCCAACGCCAAAAGGTAGATGTCGGGATGGACCCCTCCCACCGCACCCTCCATACCCCTGCCTGGGGTAGCCTTGGCAGTGGGATCCCGTGTGTGCACCAGGATGGAGGGGAAGTATGGTGTGCACTGGGGGACAGAGCCACGTGAGGCACCCGCTGACCACGCCTGTGTGCCAGGCCTGGACAGGGCTGAGGGCCAGTGACCAGCCTCAGGGTCCTGTAGGCGTGGGGGGCTTCACTCCTGGGGTTCATGTTGTCCACTCTCATCTGGGGCCAGCATCGCGTTCCCTGGTGGGGCTGGTCCGCTGACCTCTGTAGGGGACTTTGGTTTCGATTTCTCGTTTTGGTTCTGTCATGAAGAAGGATTCTGGGAAGAGGAAGGAGCGGGGGGGAACCGAAAGGGGAGGGCTGGTGTGAGGCCAGGTGGAATGCGGGCACCCAGAGTCTCTTCCCAGCCCACAGCTGTGTGCCAGGCTCAGGTGGGGCCGGGCTGCTCCACCATCTAGCGGCCGTGGGCCTTTAGGCGAGTTACTCCGGGCTGTCTTCAGCAGTGATGTGAAGATGATGCTGATTCGTGTCGTGACGTGTAAGTGACCCCGGGAAGCACAGAGCCTGGCCTGCGGTGAGGGCCCAGTGCTCTTGGTGCAAGCCTGGAGTCTCCCTGGCATCAGGGTGCTGCTCTATGAAACGGGAGAAAGCCCTGCCCCCCCGGGCCTGGCCGGAAACAAGTGTGACGTGGAACCAGAACTGTGTGTGTGAGGATGTGTGTGGGAGTGTGCCCGAGTGTCAGTTGACATGACCATGTGAATGGCTTGTGTGAGGATGGATGCATGCATGTAAGTGTGATGAAACTGTGCTTCAGTGTGCGTGAGTGTGTGTGGGTACACCGGACAGTGAGAATGAGTGAACATGTGTGCATGTGTGAGTGTGCCCAGACGGATACCTGTGTGTGTGAGAATGAGTGCATATATGTATGTACATGTGTCTGTGTGTATGTGCATGAGTGTATATGTGTGTGAGAGTACATGCATGAGTGTACATGTATGTGTGAGTGTGACTGAGTTTGTGAATTGTGTACATGGATGAGTGGGTGTGTGTGAGGGTACATGCATGAGTGTGTGTATATGTCTGGATGAGTGTGACTGTGCGTGCGTGAGTGTGTGTACATGTATGGGTGTGTTTGTGTGCACGAGGGTACATACCTGAATATGTGTATATGTGTGAGTAAGTGTGACCATGTGTGTGTGAGTGTGTGTACATGTATGAGTTTCTATATGCAAGGGTGCATGCATGAGTGTGTATGGATATGAGTGACTGTGCTGCGTGCACCAGTGCGTATGTATGGGTGTGTCTGTGTGTGTGAGGGTACATGCACGAGTGTGTGTATATGTATAAATGAAGTAACTGTGTGCATGAGTGTATGTACAGGTATGGGTGTGTCTATGTGTGTGAGAGTACCTGCACATGTGTGTGTCTGACTACAGATGAGTGTGTGTGTGTATGTCTGAGGGCACTGAGGGGACTTGATGTTTCTACTTAGGCTGGGTACCCCCCAGCCCTGTGGCTCCCACAGATGGACCAGCCAGGTCACCGTTAATAGAACCTCCCTGACACTGTGGTCACACAAGACGCTAGCTTGCTACCTCGCCACGGCCAGGGCCACCTCTGCAGACACCCATCCTACTCTCATGCATAGGGGCACGCCCACACGTGCACACAGAGTGCATGCATTTGACCTGCCTTCCTGGGCAAGCTTGTGTGCATGGCCTGTCTGAGCCCTCATCCATTCCATTAAGCTCATGTGTGGGACCGTGCGTTCATGACCATACCCAGGGGCCCACGGCAGCAGGAGCCACAAAAGTGCCCTTATTCGGCAGGGTGTTGTCTCTGTGGGGACAGTGTTTTTCACCTGGCTGTTCTGCCCTGCTCCCGGTGACCCCAGACCTCAGACAGCACAGCTTGCAGAAGAGGGGGTGGGTGCCAGGGGAGAGAGACCCGGAGCGTGTGTGGGGGCGCTTGCCACCCCCATGCTCACGTGCACATGCGTGCAGTACTGACACACCCACGTGTGCACACACACGGGCCACACACCTTCTGGAAGGTTCAGAGCCCAGCCGCCATGCAGCATTGTTGCCCCCCCCCACTGCACTAGGAGTGGCCACTGAGCTGCAGGCTCAGGGCCCATGCCCCTCCATGGGGCTTGAGGGGCAGTGCAGGAGAGCCCCGGCCCCGGCCCCGGCCCCCGGCCCGTGCGTGGTTGTGGGGCTGCCCTCCCAAGCTTCCGCCCACGCACAGTGGTCTGGAAGAGTCCCCCCCGAGGGTCCCCTAGCCTCCCTGAGGGTGGCAGCCCCCTCTGGAGCCTCTACAGGGACCAAAGGGAGGCAGCCCCGTGGGGACCCCCAGGTGAAGGAATCGAGATGGCCCTCCAGTCCCTGAGGCTGTGTGGCGGGGAGGCACTGAGAGACATGCCGGCGCGCTGCCGCTCAGGGGCTCTCTGAAGTTTCGCTGGTCCTGGCGGAGCTGCAGCTGTGCTGGGATTCCCCAAGAGCCATGTGGTCACCACCATCACCGCCGTCTTTGGCCTGTCATTCCTCCTTCTCTGCTCCCATCCTGGGTGGCTGCCAGCTGGCTCACCCATTGGCACAGGGCAGGGCTGGGTGGGGTGGAGCAGGGTGGAGGCGGGACGAGCTTCCCTTTGATCCACCCTCTGGAGTCGGCTGGGGATGTCCGGCTCTGTCTCGGAAGGGAGAACATTCCTGGCGTGGTGACGGTGGGGCACACCTGGCCCTGCCTGCCCTCCCCGCCCGAGGACCATTGCTGACTGCTTACGAGGCCCATCTTACCCGTGGTCAGACAGCGGCTGGATGGCAGTGAGCTGGCCTCCCTGGCTGCTGAGCTGAACCACAGGGTGGCTGTACCCCGCCTCACCCTAAGTCTCACCAAATGTGGACCCAGCAAGAGGCAGCGGGCTCCATCTGTCCTCAAGGCACCCCCCTAATGTGCAGGCCAGGGCTCCCTCCAGCAGGGTTGGGGGCTCTGACTCAGCAACCCAGAATCCCCGGTAGCCCCAGTGCCAACGTCTACTCCTTCTTTGGGTTCCCTGGGTGCCCCTCTGTGCCAGGCCCGAGCTGGTAGGGATGGGAGACAGTGACAACCTAGAGTGATCACTGGTCAGTCAAGGGAAGGTAACGCTAGCCCTACAAAGGGACACATAACCCTCCAGAGGTCAGGGAAGCTGCCTGAAAGGCAGACTGTGATAATTAAGGTTGTGTGTCAACTTGGCTGGACCATGGTTCTCAGGGGTTTGGCAACTGTCGTGTCATGATGTGATGAGCTCTCATCTGATGTAGTCCCTCTATGATGAAATGTGCTCTGAACAGCCACGGCCGGGAGGGTTTCCTCAGGGGTCTGGCCTGCTTCTGATACGTGTGTGGCCACTCAGGCCACGTTCTCCGCCTTCCTGCTGGATCCGCATCCTGCATCTAGCTCATCATCACCTCCGGTTCTTGGGGCCGATCCACGCCTGCCGGTCACCTGCCAATCATGGGCTTGTTGCCCTCGCAGCCTGCGAGCCAACAGTCTGCCATTTTACCTGCCCATCTTGGATTGTCCTCCTCCAAAGCCAGCAGCCTGTGACACTCTCGATCTTGGGTTCATCAGCCCTTGCAACTGCACGAGGCCACGAGCTTGGGGCTTGCTACCCTGTACAGCTGTGTGAGCCATCTCCCTGAGATAAACTTTCTCTGTCTCTCTGTATCTGTAAGCATCACCAGTTTACCTTCTCGGGGAACCCAGCCTAAGGCAGGGATGTTCGCGCTAACTCCTCCTCTCATTTTAGACTGCTCGTTGCTGGTCTGTCGACAGAGAACGGCATTCTGTCTCCTGATCTCGGGTCCTACGTCTGCGCTTGGTCACGAGTTCTAGTCATTTCTAGTGGATTCTTCGGGATTTTCTAGATACGAGATCATGTACTCTCTGAACGGGCTTGCTTCTTCCTTTCCAATCTGGACGCCTTTTGTTTCCTCTTCATGCCTCGCTGCACTGCCAAGAGGCTCCAGTGCAGTGTTCAGGAGAAGTGGTGCGAGTTGACGTCATTGGCTCATTCTAATCCGAAGGGAGAAAATTCAGTCTCTCACCACTGAGTGTGACGTAGCTCTGGGTTTTATGTAGAGAGCCTTTATCAAGTTGAGGAAACAACAAAACAAAACAGAAGGACAATTGTTGTCGAGTCAGCTCTGAGTCCTGGCGACCCCACGCATGTCAGAGTAGAAATCAATACTAGACCATGTCCAAGCTGTGACTTTTCCCAACCAGGCCACTGGGGCTTTCCTCCAGGGCACCTCTGAGCGTACTCGTACCACCAACCCTTGGGTTAGTGGTGGAACACTTGACCATTTTTGCCACCAGGCCAATTCCTAGATGGTTGGGTGTTTGTGTTATGGAAGATGCTTGGCTTTTGTCCAGTGCATCTTCTGCATCTATCAGGATGGTGCTGTTGGTTTCCATCTTTCTTCTGTTGGTATGGTATACTCCACTAATTGATTCTGGATGTTCAGCCAACCTGGGAGAAATCTCACTGGGTCCCAGTGTCAAGTCCTTTTTGTATCTTGCTGATATGTGTTGTTAGTATTTGGTGGAGGGTTTTTGCATCTGTCTCCCAAAGGGATATTGGTCTGTAATATTCTTTTGTGTGTGTGTGTGTCTGTGTGTGTGTGTGGTGTCTTTGTCTGGTTTTGGTATCAGGGTAACACTGGCCTCAGAGAATGAGTTTGGAAGTGTCCTCTCCTCTTCTGTTTCCTGGAAGAGTTTGTAAAGATACGTAGAGAGGAATTAGTTCAGTTGCAACTCCAGGAAGTGGAAACAGGGCACAAAGGCCTGGAGGTGAGCCTCTAGATCTAGGGAATGGGGAGCCTTGGGGTCTGGCTGGCACACGGAAGGTGGAGCGCAAGAAGAGACCCCATGAGGAAGATTCATGGGGGCAGGCATGGGAAGCCCCCAGAGTGTTGGAGAATGAGCTTAGTGCACGGTAAGAAGGGAAAAGACTTCTGCGGAGAAGTGATGGGCGGCTGCCCAGTGGTGGCAGGCAGGCGGACAGGGCAGGGTGGCTGGTGAAGGGTGTGGCCTTGAGGGCTGGGTAGGACTCCAGGGGAGGGGAGGCGGAGGGCAGTGGAAATAGAGGTGGGATGGAACCTTGGTGTGGGAAGCCTGTACCGGGAGGGGGCCAAAAGCTGGCCTGAGGGGGAGGCCTCCAGACCTCTACCCAGTGTAGATACCTGGTCAGAGCTACCAGCAAGGTTCAAGGATCCACATCCACGGGGGACTTCTGTTGCCATTCCCCGTGGCAGCCTGTATGCAGGTGGTAAAGTCTCTTGATGAACAAAACTTTAAAATGTTTATGAAGTCTCATTTATTGATTTTGTCTTTTGCTGTTTGTGCTCTTGGTATGGTGTTAGATAATCCATTGTTGAAACCTAGGCCCGACAGCATTGCCCCCGCTTGTTCTTGTGAGGATTGTATGGTTTTAGCTTGCACATTTAGGTTCTTATCCATTTTGAATTTGTTTTTGTATATGGTGTGAGGCACGGATCCTGCTTCATTTCTCTGCACATGGAAATCCAGTATTTACAACACCATTTACTGAAGATAAGGGGATTGAGCACCCATCACTTGACCACAGGTTTATCTCTGAGCTCTCAGTTCTATTCCACTGGTCTGTGTGTCTGTTGCTATACCAGGCTGTTTTAATTGCTGTGGCTGTGTGAAACCAGTAATACTACTAAAAAAACCCCACTGCCATCAAGTCGATTCCGACTCATAGTGATCCTCCAGGGCACAGTAGGACCACCCCATAGGCTTTCCAAGGCTGTAAATCTTGTGAGGCTGGTGCAGGACCAGACAGTATTCTGTTCTGTTGAATATAGTGTCCTGTGAGTCAGAGCTAACTACAAGGCACCTAACAACAATGACGAATCTTTACGGAAGCAGACTGCCTCCTTATCTTTCTTTTGCAGAGCGGCTGGTGGGTTTGAACCTCTGCTCTTTTGATTAGTAGCCCAATGCTTTAACCACTACAACACCAGACCTCTAGCTGTTTTGAAATCAGGAAGTGTGAGTCCTCCTCCTTTGTTCTTCCTTTTCAGTGTTTTAGCTACTTCGGGCCTCTTGCCTTATAAAATTGAGGACTGGTTTTTCTATTTCTAAGAGGCCTGTTGGAATTTTGATCGGGATTGCACTGAATCTATAGATCACTTTAGGTAGTATTGACATCTTAACAATATTAAGTCTTCCAATCCATGAACATGAAACATTTTTCCAGTTAAGTCTTCTTTAATCTCTTTCAGCAGTGTTTTCTGGTTACCAGCTTAACCTCAATCACACACAAGAAATTCTGTATCTGAACCATTCCTCTCCCCCCTTTTGTTGTTATCACTAATTACGTGTGTATTTCATGTGCCCTGTAACAATTTTATCCTTGCCTTTTATGTATTTGTTATCAAAATGTGAAAGACAACACAATTAGAATCATCCAGCCTGAATGCCTTGTTACTAGTCCTTATCCTTGTCCCTGTGTTTCCATTTTATTTGGGATCTTTCTTTTTATAGAAAGCTTTGAATGACTTTCTAGTGTTTTTGCTCTTTCACGTAGAGAGTTCTCATTAGCATTTTCTGTCTAGTGTGCAGATAGGCACAGAGCAGGAGGGGTACCTGAGAGGTGACTTCATCAGGCTTTGGCCAGGTTGGAGGCTTGTGTGCTGGGAGAGGGGTCCACATATGCCCAGGTAGGTGGGTGTTCCCAAGGCCTAGACCCCCAACTCGTTGGGGACCTCCAGAAGTAGAGGTCCAATCGGGTCAGGTAGGCAAGGTGGCTGGCCCCACGAGGACTGGGGACAGGCAGACCTGCTTGGGGACCTGACTGCATACCAGCCTAGTAGGGCACCAGCCAGCTAGGCCCCCTTGACCCCACCATAGCCGTGGGAGGCAGGCGTGGCTAACCATCCCATTTCACTGAGGTGTAGACTGAGGCTTGGCAAAAAGGCCGCTTTGCCAAGGATGCTTGCCAGCAAGGGGCTGGGTGGGATGGAGCGCAGGCTCTCCGGCTAGGCCACTAAGCGCATCATTTCTGTGTCTTCCATCCTCGTGCGGGTCCTGGCGGTGTTATGTGTGTGCAGAACCATTGATATTTCTTGACTCTGGGCGACAAAAAGGTGGCGGCTTCTCCGGCCCCTGCGCCAGTCAGTGGGAAACCGAGGCTCCCCGGGGCCGCCTGCGCGCTGACGTAGGGTGGGCGGGCCTGGGCTCACCTGGCCGCGGGCCCGCCCCGCGCGCGCGGGGCGGAGTCTTGGGGCGCAGAACCGGGGGAGCGGCATGGCTGGAGCGGGGTGCCGGCCGCGGA